GCATAACCTTCCTGCAATTTTTTGTTTGTTTGTTTGTTTCAGCATATTATGGGGGTACAAATGTTAATATTATGTATATTGCCCATGTGCCCCCTTCCCCCTCGAGTCAGAGCTTCAAGCGTGACCATCTGCAATTTCTTTTATTACAATTCCCACATTACATTGTAATCATTCACTGATCTGTCTGTCCAAGTACCCTACGAGTTCATGAATGGCAGGGATTATGTGTTACTCGTTTTTATTTCTCTATTTCTTTTGTTTGACAAATGAATAAAAGCAGCCCAGAAAAATAAATACATGGGTTTTTGATGTTACAGAAAGATTTAAATCATAATGTCTAATAGAGTTTTAATTACATGGTATAGACTGCGGTCGCCAAGCCCCAGGCCGTGGACTGGTGTTGGTCTGTGGCCAGTTGGGTTGGTGGGGGACTTCACAGCAAGAAGTGGGCGAGCAAGTGAAGCCCGATCTGTTTGTACAGCCGTTCCCTATCGCTCACATCACCGCCAGAGCTCTGCCTCCCCCTGTCCCCCCATGGAAACATTGTCTTCCGTGAAAATTGCCCCTGGTGCCAAAAAAGGTTGGGGACCGCTGGACATAGGAAAGGCCTCCATGAAAATCTGCATCAGGGATGCGTGTATGTGATGTTAAAAAATCATGAATCTATATAAACCCTTCCTTTAATTCTAAAGAAATAATGGTAAGACAAAGCCTTTTAGGAATTTAGTGCCTTTTCTTCTTTCCCTGTGTCCAATTTGGCAAATGTCTTGCTATGATAATACTAGGACTAATTCTTCCCCTAGGATAAAGCATTAATTAAATGGCTTACAAAACCATCCTTATCAAGAAATGGAGGCTCTGATCTTAGTTTTTGCTTGATTAACTTTAAAGTTCAATACATTTTTGTGGAACCCACACATATTTCAATGTGAATTGCTTTTCACTAATTGGTCCACCACTCTATAGGGACCACAGTGACAGTTCTGGTCTTCCTCTTAGGCTTTTTAATTCTCCTTCAGAAAGTTCCTAAGCTTTATGAATAGTCATTAAATCAAGGAATGATTTCTGGAATCAAGGGAATCAAGTCAGTGGAGAGAGATGTGCAGTTCTGGTTTGATACCCACCCAAGATTGGTGGAGGGCTGCTGCTTCCACACCATGACTCTTGCCTCTCATGAGACCACGCCCAGCTGGCTTCACTAGAACAACGGAACCATTCATCGATTAATTTATTCACTCAACAGATACACATCCTTATGCATTTTAGTATTCCTGAAATTGGGGCATATTTTGTTACTATTTATGATATCTATTGAACAGCATCATCCAATGGTGGCTACCAGGTGGTGGTAGTGATGTAGCTGTTACTGCCTATGTGTACACACCACATTCTCCTCACTTCAGTTAAAGTCACGTGCAATGTGGGTGCATCTCCTCTTGAGTTTAATTACATTTTAGTTTAATGAATTGCAATTCTTCAATGTTTTAGTTAAGGAACATTTTAGGACCATTTGAGAGGGGAACATGAGTGCTGCTTGCTGCTAAAAACCTACCCTAGACTCCTGGTAGATGGGACCAGAGTATGCACCAAACAGCAGAACACTCGCAACATAGGTATCAGTAGTTCGGAAGAGCATCTTAGATTCACAGCAGTACGCTCTTTTGTGAAGAAATGTGTACCACTACACTCTCGATGGCAAATAAAACAGTAATGTGCGGAAAAAAAAATAATCCAGGGCTTGATAACTTCCATTTGGACCCTATATGTGAGGATGTTTTAGAAATTCCTTGGCTAACTTAGACTTTATACTTTCTATAATATAATTTATATGCATTATGTATTCATCGTATTACACAGTATATATTTTTTCATGCTTTTGTATCATATTTAAGAACTCTCTGCTTTGTCTTCCTTTTAGCTACATGGTCACGCATTAGAGAAGAGAGGCTTTCTCTTTGTATCCCTGACCAAGAAATGTTTAAGGATAAATCAAGACTACCTACCACATCCCAGAATCCTTGATTATATAACATATATTAACAGCATTTGCTTCCATTAACCATCCTCCATAGGAACTCTACTGCAATATTTAAGTATTATTTTACATTTCCAGTTGTTAAAAATCTGTAACCAGATTTTCCCCAGGCTTCTAAAGACAGGCAATATTATCAAAGTTAGTGAGGCATGTATTTTAAACAGCAATTTTGTAATATTAAGTATTGTGCTGAATATGGGTGATTATTTTTTGAACAATAATTTTATAAAAAAGGAATTTAGGGCTCACTTGAATTTTGTCATGCAGGTGTTTGAACTCATCTTGATTTCTGCTTACAATATTTATGAGGTAATATGAAGTGAAAATGCCGTATCAGCAGTTTAGAAAGTAGTTTTGTCTTTCACAGGATAAAATTGTACATAATCATGAATTCTATGACTTTCTCTGCAGATCTAGTATCTTTTGTGATTTTTTTTTTGAGGAAAATAAGCTTGCATAGCAAATTGGTTGTTTTTTACTCTTAAAATTCAAAGTTATGATCGTTGTGATAAAAAAGCAATTGCTCTGAGCTAATGTGACACTATGAATTCATCTCCCAAGGCCATGCCCTGCTGAGGATGATTCCACTGACAGCTGCCTGGTCTTCTGTCCTTATTCTCCTCTATCCTTGCACTGGGTATGTGCTGCCTGAGACTTAACGGCATATCATTGCACCGTACTGAGGTTCGTTCCTCCAGAATAAACCAGGTGTCCTCAAACTACGGCCCACGGGCCACATGCAGGCTGCCTAGCACATTTACCTGGCCCTCCGGGTGTTTTTGCTGCCGCTGCCTGTCCTGCTTAGCAGCCAACTCATCCCGGGCCCACAGTGTACACTCTCCAACGGTCTGAGGGACAGACAGTGATCTGGCCCTCTGTTTAAAAAGTTTGAGGACCCCTGAAACCCATTCCTACTATTCATTGCTATGATTTAGTGAGACACTAGAATTTAACAGTGCATTTGAAAAAGTCTGTCAGTGAGAAAAGAGTATTTTGACATATCCAATTGTATTACTTTTCAGTGTATGTAAGAACATAAATAAATGGCTAAATTTTATACCAAAGGATATGCTGTGTGCAATGAACTAATAACATAAAACCCAGAAAAATAGGTGTTTGGTTTGGTTTGACAGGATAACTGGCCAGGCCTCACCACCAGTCTGTCCTTGAAATTGTCCCCAGTCTCATCACCAGTACCACTACCAGTTCAGACCCAGTGAACACGATGTCTCACTTTTATTTCTCTGGATCAAGCAAGGACAACACCTTCTGGCCTCTGCTCGCTTTAACAAGAGTGAGATCACATGGAATTTACAAGATAGATGCACAAATTATGGTTAATATTTCAATCATTACATAGCAAAGGACACATAAAGTTCAGAGAAGGAAAAAAAAAAACCAAATGTACTGTGTACAAAAGGACAAATCTTTAATCTCGAAGACAAGGAAACAAAGAAAAGAGAAAAGAAAAGAAAAAAATAAGGAGATACCAAGTTTCTCTTTCAAAATAGATCTTAAAAAATTAGGTGGCCAGGTATAAATGGAGTGAAAATTCTGAATAATATATGCAAGAAAGAAAACAACTGGCTATTTAAAATCTTGAGTAGAAGCCTATTGAAATGATAGAATAGACACAATAGATAAATTGTTCTACATTGAAAAAAAAAATAGGTGTATCCAGGAGAAAGATCTAGGAGAGGGGATCCTGGAGGTAGTGTTGTTCAATGATGACAAACAAAACAAAACAAACCCATGCAGTTCTTTTATATACATTAAATTAACTTTTAAGGTCATTAAAAATGTATCATAGATAGATTTCAGGTCAGAGAATGTCTAAAAGATATCAACCCATTTTCATAATCATGTAATTTTTAAAATAGTGTACACGCCTAAAAATATTCATTTTCTTATGAGAATTTTTATTTACCAATAGTTCCCAGAGAGTGATTGCTATTACACTCGCAATATCTAGGCAGGCAGAAATAGTTGAACAAGTTCACAAGCTACTAAGTAAACACAGGAGCCAAGGCTCTTCAGAGACGTCAAAGTGGCAGAGATTTTAATATGACCTTAGTGCAAAAGGGCTCCAGACTGTTAAAATTACCCCCGCTCAAGGGTGTTTTTTTTTTTTCTCCTTAAAGATTTTAAGAGACATATGACCTACCCTAGATGGATATTATTAGAATCTGACCTTGAATAAATATTTAACAGTTTTGTAAGAAGAAAGCTACAAACTTAAAATTGTTACATCAAGTGCAGTGAAACCTCACTATAATTACCTTATAAGACCATGAATTCGTCTTAAGAATGTGAATAATCCTGTCCTTTGTGTGAAGACTGAATGCACACGTCTTTCTTACATAGAATCCCTAAACCTGAGTCTTATCTTGGGTGTGTGACAACAATATCACAAAGGAGTCATAACCTAAAGACATTGATTCGGTTAGTTGTAGCTCATGTCTAAATCCATGTTTGTGCATAGTGATTGTGCAGTAAGCATTCATTTCAGGCAGTTATGCATTCCCATGAAATGCTGTGATCAAGTAACAAACACAATTGCCTAAAAACCAAAATTTAAATCATTCTTTGTAAAATTTTAAAAAATATTGTTCATTTACAAAAAAACCTCACAAAAATACTGCAAGGATATAGTGTATTTAACTGTACAGGAATCCTATGGCATGAGTATATGCCAAAAATACAGTATTCTTTTGATACTGCAATATATTGCATTATTAACATAATTATAAAACTAGTTTAATGCTAATGTAAGAGACTGAAATTATTTTGAACGGAGTAATCGACATGCCATAAAATTAACACAATTTTGTTTAGATTATCCACAAGAACCTGAAGAAAGTATGTATTTGGTAACGTCTACCCTTTATAAAAACTATGGCAATGACGGACAGACCCTTTCCTTCAAAGGTCTACCTAATCACACCCCCTGCACTTGGTCACTTACCTTCCTGACTCAAATGTGAACCATGTCGAGTCCCGACCGTATCTCCTCAGTGAGCTGAGGGGCCACATCACCAGTTTGACCTTGGCATTGTGGATATCCCAGAGATAGATATTCTCATGAGTGATCTGCATTGTGCATTCACCATAAATATCCAGATTTGGCGTAGGCATAAGATACACATTAAATCGTTCTGCAAAGAGACAGAGAATGGAGAAAGTTAAGCAAAAGGAGTACTTGTCTATGGCAGTACTGTATCAATTTGTGTATCTAAAGAATTCAGAAAAGCATTATCACGTCCCTTAGTGATACAGGTATCCATTGCACAATACTACCTGCTTCCATTTTGTGTATGAGAAAAGGAGTTCGTTAAAGTATTTTTGGGTAATAGTTCATTCACTCACTCATTCTGTAACTTTTCATTGCATGCATTCTCTACGGTGAGGAATAAGTAGTTCCATTGTACAATGAAAGAATAAGGGCAAATGCTAAGTGGCGTCTCTGCCCAAACTGTGCTTACTGTCTGCTTTTCACACAGTCTAAGTGGCTATCACAGATACAATTCCTGTGAGGGATGTCTTGTTTACACTAAGCGAAACCTTACTCAATTTTACCTTTATGACATGATGTATTTAATGTGCACCCAGACTGACTCACTAACTACTTAAGCACTGTAAAGATAATTTAATGTGTATCTCAAAACAAATTGTAATCATGGTCAAATTCAGCATATGATAATTGCAGATATTCATTACTGCCTCCTGAAAAACTTAAGACATTAGCAAACAAAGTAAAAATACATAAACCCTTCTTGTTGTACTTTAGAACTCTCCAATCATAATTTTTGGTGTTATTTCTTGCAAGTCTTGAAAGAAATTGTCCTAAGAAATGTTATTTTCTATTTTCAAATATTCAAAATCCATTTTCCCCTAATGGATTTCAGATTCAATTCAAAAATGAACTAATTTAATCCGGCAGGAAACTAGGTACGTTGAGATGAGGGCAGCACATCAAGTTACCTACCCAGACTTCACTGAATTCCATTATAATGAGGAAGCAAACTTTCTGCCTTTGCTATGAATAAATTATTTTATATTCCCTTAGTAGCATACGATATGTTGTTTTACTAAACTTTGGTAAGGTTCTTACTAGAAAGACCGTCTCAAACTGGAGTGGTTAAAATTGGCTCCACTAAATGATATTTAAAAATGCTTACCTTTGTTAAACAATTTCAAGAGGAAGCCATTTTAAATCACTCCCTAATCACGCTACTTTTAAAATTTAAGAACACACATTTGGTTTTTACTGTCTAGAGGTACTGGTTTTCAGACATTAGCGTGCATCAAAACTACCTGGACGACTTGTTTAAAAACAGATTGCTAAGCCTCCTCCACCCTGCAGGTCTGGGTTGGAACCAGGTAATTTATGTGTCTACTTACTCCCAGGGGGTGTTGACACGGCTGCTCTGGGAACCACACTTTGAGAACTGTTGATCTGTGACATTTTAAAATATTGCCAGGAAAGTAGCAATGTTAGAAAAGCATGAGGAATGCTATTGAAAAGTGATGTTATGTTCTAGTAGAACAAACCAGCACATTTTTTTTTTTTCAAAACATCTGGGGCCACAGTGCAGTGACAATAAGAAAGTTCCATTTTCTATTCTTTATTTAACAATTGTTACATATCAATTCACAATATGAAATTATAGTAAGAATACAAAACTAATAGACAGTTTATTAAATGTTATCTAGGCAAAAGACCAGAGATATTGGTCTAACATTAAATATTGCTGAATAAGTCCTCAAGAATCTGGTGGTAGAAAAACTGAACATATGCTTGGGATTTTTACTATTTTTCCCAATTTTGAATCTAGGTTCACCTCATTGTTTGATACAATCTGCTTTGTATTTTAATGGTTATATGAAATACTAAGGGAAGTAAATAGAGCCAGATAGTACACAGAAGATAATGAGACATTTCAAGATCATTCTTTTTTTTATATTATTATCTCTAAAATTTCTCTAATACAGGGATATTGCAGTGGTCACTCTTCAATTCCAGAAGCTTTAGAAGCTGAGCCTCACTGAGAAAGTAGGTGTCTGCACATTGAGATACATCTCGAGATCAGTATGATGCAATTAAACCACTAGTGAAAGAAATCATGATTTATGCTTGTCAAAATTTGTGGGACTCTTCAGAAATTGTGACTTCATCTTCACCACAGAACTGAAATTCATCAGAATTTAGTTTACTATAAGGTGGCAATAGTAATAAGTTTAGTTGCCAGGTGCCATCTGCTTACTATACCTGGCCACTATGAATTGGAACATTTATATTTCTTGAATCAATCAGCAGCACTTAGAAAAAAAAACCAAAAATCTTCTAGCATCTTTTTAAATCCCCCAGGAATTTCTTTTCTTTACAAAAACTGTTGCATGAATTTTATCTGCATTTCTAAGTAAATGATGTTCATTGCAGTAAATATGGAAAATTGTTTTAAAAAATTAAAATTTTATACCTTGGTTGTTATACCTTACAGAGATAATCCCTGCTACAGTGTATCTTAATACACATAATTGTTATTATACTGAAAGTATTTAACCTTGTATATTGCACTTATAGTATAAGCATTATCAGATGCTGCCAAATATTTTACGAGATAAAATTTTTAATGAATGTATAATATTACACCATATAGCTATGCTATAATTATTTAATAATAATCTATTTGATGAATATTATAGTTAAGCCCATTTTCATCTAATATAAATTAACCAGCACTAAAATAACCAACTTTCTGCTCAATTTGCTAAATGATTTACTACTTATATATTGGTTCATGGAGTTTACTATGCTTAATTCTATTCTTATATATAACTGTTGGATAGTTTTTAGTATCTTTGATTATTAACTTACATTGTGTACTAAAATCCAAATCATTGGAGCAAAAAAAAATACTATAAATTCTTTTAAGAATCATACATTGCCAAATTTCTTTCCAGAAGTTCCTTCCCAGTAACCATTCCAAATATTTGTATATAGTCATTTATATAAATGTCTTTTGTCAGATTTATAAAAAATTAGTTCTACTGTGTCTCTTGTTGATTGAGAGAATTCATACCATGTCTATGCCAAATACTCAGATTTTCATTAATTTTGTTCACATGATTTATTTAAGTTCAGAGGGTGGAAAATAGTTTTATTTTCTTTAATTTTACAATAAGTCCTTCATTATTGAAAGATTGCACTATATCGTGACATATACTGAAATGCTCATATCTTATAGATAATGTTCTTTCAGTTTTGACAGATGCACATCAAGATGCACAACACTGCAGTCACCCCAGAAAGTTCTCTTATGACACTTTTTGTCACCCATGCCCTCGAAAGCAAACACGGATCTGATTTCTAATACTGTAGGTTATTTTTGCTTATTCTGGAAGGCTCTTGTGAAGTGGGAGGAGCCCACTTCAGCACATCACTACCTTATGACATCTGTAGCTTTCCTTTTTTACTTCTTATTTCCTTTTAAATTTTTGATGGTGCTTTCGCTTTTTTGATGAGCATTAGTTTGAATTTTGGTGAAGTTCAATTTATTTCTTTTTATAGTTTGCACTTTCAGTGTTTTACAGAAGGACTCTTTGTGTATCTTTAAGTTGCATCCATCTGAAATTGATGTTTGAGTGTGGTGTGAGTATGGGTCCAGGGTCATTGTTTACTACACAGACATCAGTCATTCTAGAACAATTCGTTTTCAGAAGTTTTACTTTTCTCATTGAAATGACTAATAAGCATGTAGAAAAAGAACTTTGTCCTTGTCAAAAATTATCCGCCCATATACGTGTGGACCTATTTTCTTCTCTCTATTCTGTTCCATTGATCTCTTTGTCTTTCCTTTGTCTCGATGCTGTCACAGATGGTGAGTTGTGACATTGGGAAGGATACCCATTTTGGCTCCAGATGGAGATCTCTTGTGTCCCTAACAGATTGGACATATCCTCTTTTAACTGCAATTGCAGGAATTTCCTACATGTGAGTTACTTCCTGGTTATGATGTTAACATTTGCTATTAATGATTAATAAGCAACATTTGTTTTCTAGAATTGCTGTTATGAATCATTTATAAATAAACATGACCATAACACCACACATTAATATTTTCTAAGGCCAGTGTAGGCTATCTTAAATACTACTGAAATACCTGGAGATCTTGGAAACCATAAGAATTTAAAGTTTGAAACGTCTACCCAATGTGCCCTTCTTATGGTAGTGTCATCTGAAGTCTAAGAATAATTTTTCCCGTGTGTGTATGAGCTTGTGTTCACTTAACTTTCCCTGATACCGTGTAGGATTCTAAGTTGATATGAAAACAGCTGACAGCTCTAGATAAAGATGATTATAGCAAAGAATTAATCAATAACCACTTTTATCTCAGCAACACACATTATCTTTCACCTTTAAAATTATTTGCATGAATACCTGTTCCTAGCTAGTCTCAGAGAAAATAAGACCAAGCTGTCTGAAGAGTTAGGAAAACATCAGAGGAGAAGTAGCAATTTTGAATGTCAAAAACTGTTGTGGTCAAGACTGAGCAGTGTGACTTTCTTTTAATAATACCGCAAGATCACCACAAACCACATTCATGTAATTTATGGCATTGGTTCTGCACACATATGCATCTTATCTCTTAGCAGAAAAAGTTCAAACTAAATCCAAGCATACGATTGACAAAATAATAAAATAGTGTCTCTCATGAATAAATTATAGTATTTAATGCTAAAATATCTTAAGAATAAAACTGAATCTATAAGGACAAATCTTTCATAAAGGATTCAGTCCATCTGTACATATCGATGAGTTCGAACATGTATTAGGAAGTTGATGATTTTGTTTATTTTAAAAGGTGTTATGCTCGAAGAGTCTGGAATAGAGATTGAAAGTCAATGAAATGACAGCTTTTAAAAGTCAATGCCACTTGTAAAGACTTTAATTAGCTAGCTAAAACTATGAGTGCTTTCCCTACATATTTTAAGTAAAATAAATGGTTATACTGTCTAGGGAAGAGCTGTGGACTCCACAGCAATGATCATTCACGGAGGAGGGGGGGTCCAAGCTGGCCAACGAATTTCAACCATGAAGTTTTGTTTTTTTGTTTGTACTTGTGTGTATCTGTGTGAGTGTGTGTGTTTAAAGAACCTTGTGCTTTTTATGCAGTTTTGACATTTGATTTTGTTTGGCCTATCCTAAAAATTCCATACTAAAAATTCTCCATTATATTACAGATAAATTATATCGACATTATTATCAAATTAGAAATACGATTATAATGACACGAGGAAGTACAATATCCATTTGGATGAAAAACATGTATAACTCCAAAACCTCCAAGTAAAAAGTGTATACAGTCCATACTAAAAAAGACATGATATTTCTACCCACAAGCTTAATTTATGTGCTTTTTTCATATCTCCTTTATGTAGTACTTGACAAATCCTTATTGATAAGAGTTTTTCCCTTCTTTTCCTAAACTGTGGATGAACAATATATACTTTAAGTGGCATGATTATCCATGTTCTGTGTTTATCACAGCTCTCAGAAGACAGATCAGAGATGAAAATCTGAGAGTGTGAGGGAGAGGAACTGGGATATAAAAACGGGAGCTAGAAAAAGAGCTACAGAAATGCTTTGTGACTTTCTAAAAAGTCAAATGGAAGCAATGTTTGTTACCTACATATGTTCACAATCAATAAGCTAAAAAGAACTTGTTTTTTCAATTTAGCAACAAACCAAAACTAGTGCTTTAATGGGTTACGAAAAAGATAGCAATGGTTGTTAACAACATTGCTATTAGGAATACCAAGGTTATAATCATCATGTGCTATCACAGTGCACTTTTACCTATGCTATCTAATTTATCATCTAAGATAATAATTTCTTTCTAATCAATAGCATCAAGTTGCACCAATATCCCTCAGCCTTTCCAAACACAGATCATCAAAAATTAGCAACACTGAAAAGTTTCTATTTCACATTATTAGATCATCTGGTGATGATGATAATTATTTTGCAAAATAGAGTGAAATGAGCTCACAATCAACTAATGCAGACACACTGAATAATAAATACATTATTATTTCATATTTAGAGGTGCTATCAAGAACATGCAGCATAAATTGTTAAGAGGCATGAAAAATGCCTGTTAAAATTTGAGAACAATGTAGTAGGTAAATAATATTATTTCTGTAAGCCTCAATTTTGTAAAACCCTGAGCTTTTATCCACTATAATTTCCTCCATGTAGTATTAGCCAAATGCCCTAAAAGCTATTGATAACCTGATAAGCCAAATCTGTTAATATGAACTCTAAATCTATAACGACTCTCAAAGAAGAAAATGGAATGATATCATACATTCAAAAGCCTTATATCCAACGAGTTCACTTACTAATTATTTATTTGGATAAATGGCAAACATCACAGGCAAGAAGCCAGGAGCCCTGGGTCGTACCTAGGCATTTTCTGTAGTTGCCACACCATCTTAAGAAAGTTCCTTAATAACCTGGATTGATCAGTTTATTTTCTTTTTGGGAAAAAATGACTAGTCTGAAATATTCCTGAGATCCTTTCCAGTTTTGAAGTCCTACAACTATCAGTGTGCATTAAAGGGACAGAAAGCAAGCTCACACTTACCATTCTGTTCCCGCTGCACTCCGGCTGCCAGAAGGTCCGGCTCCCCAAGGCTGATGTCGTTGAGCCGGGTCCCCAGACACTCCATGCAGAGGTGCTTGCACCACTCCTCGGCCTCCAGCTCTGAAAATAACCACAGTCGTCACAGTCAGCGATACTCCCTAGGAAGGGAGAAGAAGGAGTGCTCCCTGAACCATGTCCCCAGGTAATTGGTAAAAGTTAAAAATCTGCCTTAAAACAACAGCAACAACAAAACACTACATGTAGAAAGTGAAAAAAAGTCCCTAAAATTATTTCCCACTGTTTGCCACATGTTTTCAAGTGTAGTTAAGTGATCCTATGCTACTTTACCTTATTTACAAATCATAGTCTTAGATTTGCTTCTTATCTAATACATTTTAGATTGATTTTATTTTTGGAGAAAAATCACATAGAAAAATAAATGAGCCAGGTTTAGTTATTCCACAATGTGTATATACTTCAAAACATCATGTTGTACATAGATAAAATACATACCATTTTATCTGTCAATGTAAACAAAAAATAGAATAAATAAATAAATGTAAAATAAAAAATATATGAATGAATAATTAAAAATGTCAGATTAGGTTAAGAAAATGAATGTTTTCCTGAATGTGACTGAGATTTGCATGGGTTACAAGAGTTGAAGTTCCAATCCCCAAGACACTCTGAATTGTAATGGATGATATATAGATCAGCTCAAGAATGTGATAGTTTTTTTCATAAACACCAAAAAGTGGGCTATCCTTACCTTAAAAAATGTGGGGTGGGATCTTAAAAGTATTCTTCCTCTTTGGAAAATTCAAATAACCAAAAAAATAAATAAAATCCTAACCCCTTGAATAAGAATAACCCCCAAACCCTTTAAAATTAAAAAGTTTTAAAGCTTTCACAGGCTTTCGTAAACATAAATGAATTTGACTCTAATATATGTCCTATGAGAATGAGATGGCCAAAGGTTAGAGTTATATCTCTGTCCCCATATCATATCTGTGGTCAGGACCAAAACAGAATTAGAACCCAGGTCTTCTAGTTATTTTACCATGCAGAGATTTGAAAAACGTTTTATATTTTTAAAGGTTTTATTTTTTAGGCCAAGGTCCATTATCACTGTGCAGAAATTAGATAAGAACTTTCCATTGACACCTGCCCAGAGAAGTTTCTGACTTTTCCATGTAGCATAAATCTGCATTGGAACAGTTTAACATATTAACAGATTCCCTGCAAATCTCTTCTTGCTCTCCGTGAACGACGTTCCAACCTTTGACTTGGCATTTTAAACTCCTCATAAAAAGTTATCTGTGACAGGTTTTTTCAACTCCTGGGATTTGAATACCAACAGCTCTCCTTGCTGGTCAACACCATCAAGTCTGGCTAATATTTTCTTCCTGACTTAGTCATGCTGCTTTAGTAGCAAAAAATTGGTTTTGTCAACAAGATGTCAAGGCAAATTTGTCTTTTGTTTTTGTATTTGTCAAGACCGTAACAATACTGTTAGAAAATAAAGAAAAAAAGAACATGTAGCCCTCCCCCCACCCAGGGTACTATTCTAATAAAAATAATCAGATGTTCCAATCATGAAAAGCATTTTCTTTACAAAAGGTAGTTTACTTATTTCAGGGACCATTCCCTCAGTGGTGCGGGTCACACCTTCTACCCAAGTCTAGAATCAGGTAGAGTCTCCCACTCTCTTGCTTAGGTGGAGTCAGAGGCCTGGGATTGGCTGCCTGAGCATTTCCACAGCAACCAATAAAATAACCCTTTCCAACCACAAAGCTACTAATATAATAAATGTGCACTTGCTGAGGCTCATGGCTTTCTCAGAAACAAAAAATAATAAAATTAAAAAAAAAACCAACTTTTTCTTTTAGGGAGAAAATGCCAGACTTCATAGAAAAATTTTACAGCAGCAACAATAGCATATATTAAAAATAATTTTCATTAGATTATAAATTTTAATTTGTAAAATTTATAAAAGTTTTAAAGGCTTTTCTAACAACAAACCAACACCTTATAGGTTAAGCCAATTTACATGCGATGCATCAAGAAATCCTTAAAATTTCTACTAAGGGAGACAGTATGATTGTATTTTTTGTCTTTAATTTTTAATGTTTTGAACTTTTCACAGGACTCCATAATTTAAAATAATAAGTAATAATACACGTAATTAACATCTCATCTGCATAATGCCACCTAATAGTATTTCCAGTGTTCCATAGATAGAGATGAGAACATTTAATATGCTATTTGGGGGTAAAAATAAGAATGTTAAATATGCCAAAGCGCCTTGGTGCCAGTGTTCTCGTTAAGTTCTCTTTAAGTCTGTGCACAACCAGACGTTGAATATATCGCTCAGTCCTTCTTTGTATGAACTCTTCTGTCCGAGGACTTAATGAGACAGAGAAAGCAATCATACGGCAAAAGGCTTCTATGAAACTGGAGCCGACTCTCTCAGGTAGAACTAAACGCGGAATTTCCGTCTGGCCAGAAGCCAGGGAGATCCCCCGTCACTGCAGTGAGACGTATTCCTGGGCTTCCACCAGCGGGTAAAGATGTCTTTTGCACCCAGTCTTAAGAATCCCAGCGCTTCAGCATTTAGTAGTGCAATAACATATAAGCATAGAAGTTACCAAGAGTCATAAAGATAGAGTACATATACTCACACTAAAGACTGAATTGTAACTATTTCAGAAGACAGAAAGAGAGAGAGAGATCCCTGTAATTCAGACATCATCATCATTCCTTTTTTGCTTTTCTTAAACAAACCTTTATTGTTTGTTGAATGCACCATACGCCAGGCACTGCGCTAGGAGGTTATATGAGAAACATACTCCTTCTGCGCTCCTTGGTCTCAGGGCCTGGCGGGAGAGCCGGTGAGTCGGGCGTGCGGGGCTCTGGAAGGCTGCTGGCCTCGTCAGGTGGGCACTGAGGAACTGTGACAGAGGCCCAGCAGAGTGGACGGTATCAGAGCAGGAACTTGCAGGAAGAAAATGACGATGTGTGTGCGAGTGAGCGAGCGTGTATATCAGCATGTGTGAGCGTGTGTGTGTGTGTTGAGTTTGTGTGTGTGTGAGTGTGGTTGAGTGTGCATGTGTGTGTCCACGTGTATGTGAGTGTGCGTATGTCTGTGTGCCGGAGACTGGCAGGACAGAGGAAGATGACTGGGGGCAGAGATGGAAAGGCACGTGCGGGACAGCAGGAGTGACCTCCGGTAACAGGTAGGGACAGCTCTGAGTTGAAGCAGAAGAATGTGAGAGGCAGAAAGCGGCCTATTCTCTTCATGATTTTCTAGTATATTTGGTTCAATTAAATCAGTCCTACACTTTCATCCCAAAAGTATTAATCTTTGTGGTCTGTACACTCGATCTAACAGTTTTGCTGCAGATAAGTTGAATTCATTTGAGTATTATGCGAAGCTTTGGTTTTATAAAGGTTTTGCAGAGCTGTTTTTGATAGTCACTCTTCAAATATTATAGTTATGCTTTTTAGCTGTTCTTCTTAAGCAAGCTGTATGTATTGAAACCGTTTACTGTTTTATTGCATGTTAATGTTTTTGTCCTATCATGATTTAACTAGTGTTTTCCTCTGAATTATCTTTTATTTGGCACCTTCGTTTTGTTTTTTAGAGAACTGAGATTAAATACAAATGCAATAATAAGAACTCATTGCATTTTAAATATTTATCCTTCTCATAGGCTCAGTGCCTTTTGTCATTTGTTTTATCTTTCAAACTTTTCAGTCTACACAGAGTGTGGAAATAATTAAGTTTCCTTATGAAGGAATAAAGACATTAAAATGCTCTGTAAAGTTTTCTGTTTTTCTCTCGATGATGGAAGTGCTTTTTCATTGACATGCCTTTTTCACACAGCTAGCAGCTATGTTCAAATTCTTAATTTAGGTAAATAGCTTTTCTATAGAATAGAAACCCACATAATGTTTTAATTATACATAAAATTAGGTAAATGAAGGAATTTGGTAATTTCCAAAAGGAAAACTGAAAGATTTTTGGAAATAAGACAAATGGAGATAAGAGATTAAATTAAATGAGTGAATTACATGACAACTGGATGTTTTGAATGGAGGGAAAATGATCATAGGGCAAAACAGAAATATTATCAGACATGGGTGGCTCCTCCCTGGGGTTCAGGTTTTTTCCATCTCCCATAATTCTGGCAACAATATGGCTAACTCTCTTTGAATCAGAAAAAAAGTCTCTACATAGAAAGCCCGTAATAAATGCCTATTGACTAAATAATTAGAGTCAAGCTTTATTGCTTTCACCAAATTTAGTCCTTAGGATAATGACATCAAAGTGAAATGATCCAAAATGAGCTATATTTGAAAACAGAGTGAAAAGGTTTTCGTCATATATACAGAAAATATGCCATCAACCAAAATCACTTAGCAGATTTAAAAATAGCACTGCATCAGTTTCATATCACTTTAATTGTAAGATGTAGGCAAGACTATTTTTGTGTAAAAATAATAAATCATTGTAGCTAGTCCTCGCTGGATTTAGCTTTTATTAGTAGGAAAATGTAGTTAAAATAATCCTGTTTTGTCTTTAGCATTACCATTAATATTTTAATTATATCTGATTTTTTTTTAATTTTTAATTTTTTTTAACCATCACACAAAAAAGGATTTTATTTTGGGAAATTGATTTCTAATTTATGGCAAGTTTTACTTTCAGAAATAAAACCACAGAACAACACCATCTAATTCAAACTTAAAGGCTGGCATGCTGAGCAAGGAATGCTCTTATTCTTTGTAGGAGCTCCTTCTTTACACTGTCAGGTTACCAAGGCTCTGCCTTTTGGAGTGATTTCAGCCACCAAGTCATCAACAGTGACGTGTTCTAGTCCTTTTTCTTTAATTACCTCTTTACAGTGTGCCTTCAATTGATCCTTCCGGCCACAGTCAATTAAATTAGCTCTCAGCAACTCTTTGAGGTGTTCTCTTTCTCCAATTTCTATCAGCTTTTGGTTAGTCGCTGCTCTCATCTGTGTAGCTTTGTTCATGTTGCTAACCACACTCTTCGGCTGCCCAGACTTAGACCCTCTGTAGCTCGGGCATCTAAACACGCAGGAAGCTAGAACACG